CCACAGCGCCTGGCCATTTTTTGGTTGCAGCCATCATTGTTTGGTGGGCCCGGGCTGGGGATTTGAACCCACCACCTTAGGTGTATGTGGCTGGCGCCCTAGCCGCTTGAGCCACAGGCGCCGAGCAACTTCTAAGGCTGGAGCCCAGAAAGGGCAGTGTCACTTCTACCAAATTCTATAGGTTAAGCAGTCACAAAGCCCAGATTCAGGAGAAGGGGCCATAGATTCAACAGGAGCCTGTCAGAACAATTACGGAGCCATGTTTACAACCTGCCACACAAGGCCAGGTGCAGTGGCTCATGCCTGTAATCCTAGCACTCCGGGAGGTCAAAGTGGGCAGATTGCTTGAGCTCACAAGTTGGAGACCAGCCTGAGCCAGAGTGAGACCCACCCATCTCTAAAAAACAGCCGGGCATTGTGGCAGGACCCTGTAGTCCCAGCTACTGGGGAGGCTGAGGCAAGAGGATCACTTGAGCCCAAGATTTGAGGTTCCTGTGAGCTCTGACACCATGGCACTCTGCCAAGGGTGATAAAGTGAGACTAAGGTATCAGCCGGAGAAGCTCAGCTGGGGCTAGGTAGGTATGCACTTCCAAGATACCACTTTCAACATAAATAAAGCCTCCCACACCTACTCATCTACAGCCCAATGCTTTTGCATAACTTCTTATTTTTTGTATGTTTTGCCTTAAGGGGCATTATTTTCTCACTTCAGACTTGCTTTTAGGACTGTTTGAGAAATTCTGAGTTGCTACATATAATTCTGGGTCTATCCATTGGTCAGGCATGCTAATGATTTAACCAGAAGCAAGAACTTGTTTCCCAGATTTCCAGGTAGAGCAAAGCAACTTCATCAGCTTTGTAAGATAATCATCAGTGCAATATGAACATCTCTAAATTAGCTCCACGCAAGACCCTATCAACCTAAAAGTTGAGCTTTATAGGACACCTGTCCACTCTCCTTGCACAAGTGAATAATTCTGTATATCAGGTCACCTTATCTGTAATTGGTATAAAGAACATCATATATGTATGTGAGTACATTGATTTGTCTAAATAGCCTAACATTCCTTCTTATGATATGGTATCCAGCTATTTAGTCAAACTGTACAGTGTTGCTGTGAAGATACTTCTAAGATGCGATTAACATTTGTAAAAGTAGATTACCTCCCATATATAAGTAGGCCTCACCTAATCAGTTGAAGATCTTAACAAGATTTCCCAAAGTAGAAGAAATTCTACCTCAAGAATGCAACCTATAAACCCCACCTGGTTTCCCTGCAGATTTCAGACTGAGGACCATGACATCAACTCCTACTTGCATTTCCAGCTTGCTGGACCATGCTACAGATTTCAGACTTCTCAGTCCCCACAATTACACAAACCAATTCCTTAAAATGTACATGGGTATAGATAGAGAAAGAGAGTTTGTTTTCGAGACAGAATCTTATGCTGTTGTTCAGGCTAGAGCACATGGTGGGAACCCAGCTCACAGCAACCTCAAACTCCTGGGTTCAAGTTATCCTCCTGCCTCAGCCTCCTGAGTAGGTAGAACTACAGTCCCCCACAACAATGCCTAACTAATTTTTCTATTTTAGTAGACCCCATCTCACTCTTGCTCAGCTGGTCATGAACTCCGGAGCTCAAGTGATCCTCCCACCTGGGCCTCCCAGAGTGCTAGAATTACAGACAGAAGCCACCGCACCCAGCAAGAGAAAGAGATTATATTGATTCAGTTTCCCTAGAGAACACAGACTAATTCACATTTTGCAATATTCTGTGCATTAATGATTAACTTTCATTTATAAATATTTACAAGGAAAAAAACATAAATCTAGATTACTACAGGCTGTATACAACCTATGCTTATAGCCTGCCAAATTGACAGATTCCTCCCCTAAACCACCTGGCCAAAGTGCCTTTTTCAAGATGGTGGTGGTTTCCCCATTAGCAGTAACATCCCGGATTGTGTTTATCTTTAGCTATATATTGATATACAATCAAACCCGATCAAACTCAGCACTTTTTACAAGAAAATTTTTAATAAATGTAAAAAAAAAATCAGCTTTTGAATGTAAATAGTAAAGTTGATTAGTTCAGAAGTTTCTGAAAGGCAGAATAGTGGGAAAAATACGTTTTGTCATTGATTCCCAAACAAAAGTGAAAAAGTTACTGGGTAATAAGCTGGCATAGCTCTGGAAGAAATACCTCATGTCAAATGAATGTGATCTCTTTTGACAGAGTTATTGGTCTGTTAAAACAGAAGGAAGTGATGGATGTAATCTGTTCTCAACTTAGCCAGGTATTTTATCCTATCTGACATTACACAGTTATTCCTAAACTACAAAAAATATGATTTGACACCTCAGTTCTTAAGTGGGTGCATTTGAGAATGCTAAAGGGTTTGTTCTGTTATCCTCATAGATCACTATCAACACAGAGCCAAGTAAGCGTCATCTTCAGGTTTCCATTATGACATGATGTTGCTAGAATCATGGTACTTGGCAGTGAGTAGCCAAGATGGAGAGAAAAGGGTACCAACAATTGGGGATTCTCCTACTCCCTGTCATTTATTTCCATCCACTGTTGGAAAACAGTGTCACTTTTATTGTTTCCCCTCCCTGTGACTTCTCATGGAACTGCCTAGAAATTTGCTTCTATGTCCTACATGTCATGGTGCCAATCATCTATAAAGGTAGTCCCACTGGCCCCTCTTTTAAGTATTTAGTGTTATGTTGATTGGTCTCATGACCACTGGGTTCACTGAGCTTTGTGTCTTCATCCTTTCTGTGTCTGCGCTTGTCCAGAGGAGTCCAGATTTCTAAAAGTTTGAGTCAAAAGATGTCTTTAAATGTTGACCTTTCCAATGCTCCCTTCTTCCACTGCCATGAAGTATCAACACTTGGTGTAGAGCCTGTCCTACATTAAGATCACACTCACTCATACTTTCTAGACAAATAAATTGGAAAGCCATTACATTTTAAGGGATTCTTTATCGAGTAATACATCATATCTTTCTTTAGAAGCCCACATTTAATGTGTTTAAACTATGTCTTAATTTACAAAAGTTCAGTTTAGCAAGCAACTTTTTAAGAAGTCATTGATGCATATTAAGAAGCTTTGGATTTACCCTGTAGGTTGAAGGGTCTCAGAATTCAGAGTATATTAGAACTGCCTTTGTAAGTTTCTAAAATATACAAAGGGTAAGACGCTGGTCCCAGAGCTTCTAGTCCAGCACGTCTGAGTTTTTACCAAGTAATTTGCATTTCTACCAAGAACCAAAGATAATTATGATACACAAAGTCCCTAGGCCACACTTTGAAAAACACAACTGTAGGAAGCTCAAGTATTGAGCATTGTGGCATGATCAGATAAGAGTTTTTCTTATTGTTGTTAGAAATGGAGTCTCGCTCTCAGTTCCATATTTTAAGTAAGTTTTGCTGCAGGCAAATTGGAAAAAAGGCCAATTTGGAGGCTACTGCAGTAGCCCAAGAAAGCAAAGATGGGGATAGGGCAAAGTAAGAGCTGAATGGATAATGCAGATATGAAAATATATTAGGAGTCCCAAATTAAAATGCCTATAAGAGCCAGCCAAGGAAAGATTGTAAATAGTGATAGATGCACAGTACTGGCCTCATCTAAAGAAGACAGGCTGCTTCTCGGTCCTGGCTGATCTTGGCTGTGGCAGAGTATGGATCCAATGTTACCAAATACTCTAGTTTCTCAGGAGAATCCAGAAATTTGGATTTAAAATGTGGAACATCATTTTTAAATAGTAACAAATGTAAATTCTTCTCAACCTCAATGGAAGCCAGATGTGATTTTAGGCTCACATATCAATTTCCAACCTCTTCATTCCTTAAGGAAAGAAAAGGGAACATCATGGGCAACGTGACTGACCCATGGATAATGAGACTAAGAATTCAGCACAAACAGTCAGCTAAGTAGAAGATGAAGCATCCACATCGAGTTTGAGTTCAAGAAGTCTTTGATGTCCCTGACTGGGTAAAGTGACTTCTGGTTGGTGGCGCCCATCTTATATCAGCCAGGGACAAAGTAATCGTTTGCTTACCTCAGGCTGGCTTCTGAGCTCATGCCCTGGTTCATGCCTTGGACACATGGGTTGCTAGAAAAATAAAAGAAAAAAAGTCCATGAGCTTTTCAAGGGGAGTTGTTTAGATGGGAGTTGCTGTATGTGTCTAAAACTCAGAAGAAAGATCTGAGAAAGGGAGAAGGAGGTTTGCAAGTCCTTAGCAAATATGCCAGTATAATGCAACTCACATGCATATTTATAAACTGTACAAATTCAATCAAACACATTTGGCACAATAGAGAGAGGGAAAAAATCTAAATCAACACGTCACCAAAGTGAGTTTGAGATGGCAAACGTGCCAGCGCAGTGGCTCACGTCCATAATCATAGCGCGGTGGGAGGCTGAGGCAGGTGGATTGCATAAGCTTCAGGAGTTCGAGACCAGCCTGAGCCAGATCAAGACCCTATCTCTAAAAAATAGCCAGGTGTCATGTTGGGCTCCTGTAGTCCCAGCTACTCAGGGGGCTGAGGCCAGAGGATTGCTTGAGCCCAAGAATTTGAGGTTGCTTTGAACTGTGATGCCGCAGCTCTCTACCCAGGGCAAAAGAGTGAGACTTTGTTTCCCCCCCACATACACACACAGAGGATGGAAAATGTGTCTTCCACCACTTAGTCTCAATTCCCACATCACCAACAGCTGAGCACTTAGTTATACTGTGACTAATTCTAGGTGCTTTTCTAAGGGATTTTCAGGGGTAAATTTCATTACATGCAACATTTTTACCTTACACACTAATTTTAGAGCTTCCCATCCAAAATCTGAGTCCACTATATTAAAACCATAAGAAACAATGAGATCATCCTGGGAAAGAATGGAATGGAAAGAGCAGCGCCGCAGCGAGTCCAGGAGAACATCAGAGTCTGAAAAGGACAACGGCAAGAGGAGCTCTGGGAGAGAGGAAGCGGAGGCTGGGAAGAGCCTGAGGGCTCGTGGACACCACGGCGTGGCTCTTTCAGGTCACTTGCAATAGAGTAAAGACTAATATGTCCATTCTGTTTTGCAATTAGAAGGTCATTGGTGACCTTAATAGAAGCTCTTTAACTCAACTGCCATAATGAAGTACCACAGACTAGGTGGCTTAAACAACAGAAATGTTTATTGTCACAGTTCCGGAGGCTAAAAGTCAGAGGTCACAGTGTCAGCAGCAGGGTTGGGTTCTTCTGAGGCCTTTCTCCCTGGTTCGTACATGGCTGTCCAGTCCCTGTGTCTCCACATGGCCTTAGTGGTCTTCCCTCTGCGCATGTCCCTGTGCCTTAATCTTTTTCTTATAAGGCACTAGTCACATTGGACGGGGCCCACCCCTAGTGATCTCATTTTCACTCAATTACCTCTTTAAAGACCCTAGCGCCAAATAGCCACAGTCTGAGGAGCTGGCGACTAGGACTTCAAGCTATGGATCTGGGGTTGTGGGAGACACAGCTCAGCCTGTAACCCTGCTGAAACCAGACCTGGGGTAGGTGAGAAGTGATTTGGAGAGAAACGCAGAGCTGGAACTCCTGGAGACAAGTGTTTGGAGACTTTTGAATAAGACAGGAAAGAGGGATACTGGATTTGAGAGTCAAAGGAAGTTTTCCAGCCTGAGAGAAACTTGAGCGTGTTTATAAACTGAGGGGAAAATGCCAGTGAAGTAGGAGAAAGAAAAGTGTGAGGGAGAAGCGTGGGTCAAACCGAGACTTGGCTTCAGACAGAAGGGAAGGAGACTGGAGGAAAGAGGGGGAGCGCACCCAACCTGTGGGAGGAGGGCGTGCAAGGGGAAGGGTCCCCACTTGCTCGGGGACACGCACAAGCCATCCTTCAGGATTGCGGAGGACAGACAGGGGCTGAGTGATAGATTTGTAAAGAGGTTGGGAAGAGCTGCTGAGGAAAGGAGGAAAACAGGAGAGGAAGCAGACAGGACAAATCTAGAAGGTCTCTGACCTTCCTGTTTGGAGCCTGACCTCCGATCGTCACCGTTTTACTCCGTGCCTTTGGATAAATTACCTAATTATTCTTTTTCATGTTATTCTCATATGTGAAACAGGGTTAAGAATAGCTGCTGTGAACACACCACATTATTGGGAACATAAGTAAGTAAATGTTTTAATTTACAGTGATGTTATTAGTAGCATTCGGCTTCTTGAATTACCCAGTGCTAGTACTGTAGCTTAGCAAACTAGTTCAAGCATTCTTCTCATTTGTTTTGATTCAAGCTTTTTTTTTTTTTTTTTTTTGAGACCGAGCCTCAAGCTGTCCCCCTGGGTAGAGTGCCGTGGCATCACAGCTTACAGCAACCTCCAACTCCTGGGCTCAAGCAAGTCTCCTGCCTCCGCCTCCCAAGTAGCTGGGACCACAGGCGCCAGCCACAATGCCCGGCTATTTTTTTGGTTGCAGCCGTCATTGTTTTTGGCGGGCCTGGGCTGAATTCAAACCCGCCACCTTAGGTGTATGTGGCTGGCGCCTTAGCCAGTTGAGCCACAGGCACCGAGCCTTGATTCACGCTTTACCAACGATTCAATGGTCTGACTTGGTAGATTCAGTACTCCATTTCCCATTCAGAAGTTAAGCCAGGAGGGATTACTTTGCCCACTTAGTCTTAACTATGTTTAGAACATTCCAAATAAAGCCTGTTTTCTTTTTCTCAAAAATAAATAAATAAAACATACATATACCAAAACATTTTTAAATTAAAAAGGCACTGAACAGACACATTTCCATCAGCAATAATCTCTGTGGTACTCAGGATTGCAAATTTAAGACCAGCCTTTGTTTCTTACCCTTTAGGAGCAGTGAGTCAGGATTTCCTGAAATTAAGCCATCATGTAAAATGCATTAGCAGCTCCTAGAACACCTCAAGCCTCCCTGTGCCAAGAAATTAACATGTTTTCTATTTGGCATCTCCTTTGTATCCCCCAGTGACCTTAGTTAAGGTCTTTCCATTAGCCTCAGAGTCAATATGATAATGGAGCTAAGATTCATCACTGAAAGTTTATTTTTTCTGGAAACTTCCAAGTCTGGTGATGATTGCTTGATATCAGTGCGAGAGTTGGATTCCAAGTCTGAATCAGACTTTATAGCCAAAACTATACTAGCTATTAGTTGTACTTCAATTCCTTGCACGGCTTAACATAACCATAGTAACTATAACATAACTATAACTATGGGCATAGTTATGTGAAGCCATGCAAGGAGTTGAAGTAGAACTAACAGCACCAGGCTATTAGTTAAGCACCATGCCCAGGTTTCTCAACTACGCCACTGACACTTTTTGTCACCACTAGTAATCTCCTCATTGCTAATCTTTTGTTCTCATTCTGCTTGAACTTTTGTACCAACTCACCTCTATGCTGAAATGCCTTTTGTCTCCCCTAGTTTTCTTCTATCTTTTTTCATTTGTTGTTGTTCCTGTACCTACCCAGAAATGCTGCAGTTGTCCCACCGGGGTGTCATTGTCTTTCCTCCATCTGTCAAGTGTCAAGAGTTCAAACAGCGGCAGGGACATGGCCAGGCAGGTAATATGAAAGTCAGATATAAATAATAGAATTCTAACAAAGAGAAAATATATTCCCCATACAAAGGTACCCCCAAAGTAATGTTTTGTGTGTTTGTATGTTTGTTTGTTTTGGCTGGGGCTGGGTTTGAACCCGCCACCTCTGGTATATGGGGCTGGCGCCCTACTCCTTTGAGCCACAGGCACCGCCCCACAAAGTCAAGTTTTTAAAACATCACCTTGGCCAAAATTCATTGCCTGGCTGGGCTGCATACCTCTTTAGTGACAGAAAGCTGTTCTCAGAACCTGGGTCTTCCTGTCTAGGACTCTGAGGACAAGGCACATTATAGGGCGTTTTGTATACCACTTAAATTCTGCAGAATAAAACAATAATCATTCCTGACTGAGTTCAGGGGCCTTGAATAAGTCACCAAACATACTTTTTTTTTTTTTTTTTTTTTTGCGTAGGGTGCTATGGCATCATCATAGCTCATAGCAACCTCAAATTCTTGGGCTCAAGCAATCCTCTTTCCTCAGCCTCCCAAGTAGCTGGAACTACAGGCACCTGCCATAACACCCAGCCAGTTTTTCTATTTTTAGTAGAGACAGGGTCTCACTCTTGTTCAGGCTGGTCTAGAACTCGTGAGCTCAAGTAATCCATCTGCCTCAGTCTCCTAGAGTGCTAGGATTACAGGCATGAGCCACCATGCCTGTGATTTACTTTTTTTCCCCATGATTTACTTTTATATGTAAAAATATCATTTACTTTCCTTCAAGGGTCACTTATATTTGTTTCTCAACATGATGCAAATAACATTTCATTAAGTAATAGTGATATTTCTATCTTAAAGGTTTTCAAAAGGGCCCTCTCCTGGTTCTCTAACTTAGAAGTGTGGCCTCTATGCATCTTGAGGTTGTCTCTCATTTGTGACACCCACCCAGAATCCATTCACACTGTTACACATGACGTTTCTGCAGAGATCATAAGGGGGCATCATAGCTCATAAGAAAGGAAGAACTCAAATTCTTCATCCAGAAATCTTAGATTTGGGGGTGGTGCCTGTGGCTCAGTGGGTAGGGCGCCAGCCCCATATACCGAGGGTGGTAGGTTCGAACCCAGCCCCAGCCAAATTGCAACAAAAAAATAGCCAGGTATTCTGGCATGTGCCAGTAGTCCCAGCTACTCGGGAGGCTGAGGCAAGAGAATCACCTAAGCCCATGAGTTGGAGGTTGCTGTGAGCTGCAATGCCAAGGCACTCTACCAAGGGGGATAAAGTAAGACTCTGTCTCTTAAAAAAAAAAAAAAAGAAAAAAGAAAAGAAAAGAAAAATGTTAGATTTTATGCTCTACTTATACAATGTTGAAAAACTATTCTCCTAGCGTCTTTTTTTTTTAAGAGACAGAGTCTCACTTTGTCATCCTTGGTAGAGAGCTTTGGTGTCACAGCTCACAGGAACCTCCAGCACTTAGGCTTAGGTGATTCTCTTGCCTCAGCCTCCCGAGTAGCTGGGATTACAGGCACCTGCCACAACACCTGTCTATTTTTTTGTTGCAGTTTGGCCC